GGCAAGGCAAGATAAGTGCTGCGGATGGGATGGCCTTTTGCGGATGGAACGGAATGGGATGGGACTCGGATTGAGAGGACGAGAGGCTGCCAAGGGCGCAAGGTGCATGGGAGGAGGTGGAGGTTGTGGTGGGTGTTCGTGGGAGTGGAGGAAGTCACTCAATTTGCAGTGTGGGAAAATTAATGAGTGGCGAGAGGGGCGACGATTGCGAGGATCAAGGGTATGCAAAGTGGAGCACGATTTCGTAGCAAAACCCAAACGAAGACAATTTAACCTCCGACCACAACCAAAAATCATGTACAATGGGACACTCGCAAACTGGGAACTGTATAAACAAAATTTCACACAGAATCTAAAAATTGAAGCGCAAAAATTGTTTCTATATCATTTTACCCATTTTGCCCATATATATTTCCTGGGCGGACATCTCTCCCTTTAACGGACAGTAAACGAAATAGGAACGAAATTGATTAAAAGACCAGGCTACAGAACAAAGACGAATAGCGAGACAATAAAGGGTGTGGCCTACGGGGAATGGACGAAAGGACGCAAACGGACAGTTGGGCAGACAGACAAACGGACGGACTGCAGAAGTTGGAACCTGGCCATGCACTTTGCATTACCAATTAGAAGAACCCGACGAACGGACGAGCAGAGAAGGTAAGAAAAATTGACAATTGACGCCGCAATCAGGAAGGCAAACACACATGGGCGGCGAGAGGAGGGTGTGTGTGTGTGTGTGTGTCTCATTGTTATGCAATTGCAATGGGGCAAGTCAATTAAAAACATTCTATTCCACTCCAGCAACAACCCTCGGTTTCGTCTGGCTACCGATGACCGTTTGGATTACGGCCAAAGGCGGATATCAATGACCTAACCTCACTTTCCTTATTTCCCCATGTGACCATGTGTATCTCCCTTTCTTCCCGATGACCAAACCAAACCTCCTCCGACCAACGGCTCCCGTTCGAGCAAGACATAATCCAATTAGCAATTAGTTGTGTATGCCGGGGCGTCATCGGGTTACCTGAGCACCTCCCAGATGGTTCGGTTCCGATAGGATGGAAAACAGGTAGGAAAAGACATGTGTCTTAAGGACTGGGTCCCAAATCGAATGCCTGCCAATCGGTTATAACTCAATTTCGGCTGGTTATTAGGCCCAGCACGTCTTGGGACGCCGTTTCCTGTATTCCAACGTCTGGGGTTGTAGGATCTTTATCTCAGCAATTCTTTAATAATTCAGTAACGTCGGTAGCACTGGCAAATAAGCTTTGTGTAGTGTACATTTTTGAAAACGAAAGATCTTAGTAAATAAAACGTGCACCTCATATTCCAAGTAATAAACTTTTGGATGAAGACTAAATGCGAGCCCCGATTGGACGCGATGCGGGTGGTGGACCTGAGACACATGTGGCCGAATCACTTTTTTGTGATTCGCCTGAATTTTAATTTAAAATTCATTCATCATACTTGAAGATGGAAAACCCCGAGTGGGGAAAAGCGAGGGTCGTCAGTGGCTTAACAACAATCCTTCATTTGTATTTTCTGTGCATTCTTTGTTTGCTGGGCTGTCGTTTTTGTTTTATACATACTATACCATACTACAGGAATGTATCTTGTCTTGCTGCGACTCATTGTTTAAGCTTCATTGGGATTATGCGGGCTTAACCCCTCTTTTTTGGTCCAACTCTCTCTTACCCACTCTCACTGCATTCCATAATAAGCAAGAGCAACTTAGTGTCTTGCCATATTTTCACACTAATTTAATTCTTTTATTTTTCCCTCTTAAATGAATGTTTTCTCTTTTTCTCAGTTTATTTGAACTTTTTTTAACACATGTGTCTGCGATTATACTGCTTGTAATATGCAGTGTTATGCTAAGTTCGCTGCTTTATATATTTGAATAAATATTAAAAAAAATGTTACATATAAGCCACCACTTTCCTTATGCTCTTAGGTACCCTGTTATTTTGTAAAGGCTTTTCCAGCTCATTTGCAGTTAATTTAAATGGTTTGGCCTGGGTTTTTCTGCAACAATGCCTGCTAATTATGGTGAAGTTTTTCGGGTTCACGGCTGCATTGAAAAATCAAGCAGCCATAAAGATCTGTGGAGAGATTGCCACCTATATACAAACATATGTATATAGGGAGATATGTATAGAGATATAGCACAGCAGAGCTTATTATCATTTCTGCAATCCACTTGAATCCTTTTGTTTTGCTGTCCCATCCGAATTGTTTTGTTTTATTAATTAAAGCGAAATGCAAGGCTTTCCGGGCATTACTGGATTAAAATTAAAACAAGGGAAAATCGTGAAGAAAAGAGGAAAGAGCCGGTTAGTGAGTGAGCGAGTAAGAAGCAAACAAGAAGCGGCAACAATTCTTTTCTACGCACGGCCAGACTTTGCAACATAATTGGAATTTCCTTTTTCCTGCCCATTCCATTACCCTCTCTTTCGCTCCTGGTCCAGCCCTCACTTTCTTCAGCATGCTTCATCTTTGTCTTGTCAAGTGGCACAAAAGACAAGAAAAGAAAGAACTCAAGAGTTGCCCGCTTGACCATAAGCTGTCCCATTCAGGCAACAACTTGAGCAGCAACCTGATGTTCCCTGTTCCCAGCCCCTTAGTCCCTCTCTTTCTATAGTCATCCACCCGTCCCTTTCTCCGCGCTCTAAAGGTGGGTAAAAAGAGGGTGAAGGGGGCGTGAGAGACTGACTAAGAAGTCAAAGAGATATGAGTCAGAGAATTCTGAGAATGTCCTCAGTTCGAGGAAGAGGTATTAAGTCGAGTTCATGGGCTTGGGTTTTAAACTCAAGACCCTCTCTGAATGCACAGCTTCCTCCTTGGATCTCAATAGTAATTTTATACAGAAAATGAACAGGGTATGCAAAAACATGTTGGTTCCCAAGGACTGCTTAAGCCCCACTCGTTTATCTTAAGAACTGTAATGGAAATTAACCATTTTCAAAATGCCAAATTCAGAAAAGAGCATATGATTATGATGCATAGGATGCAAACCGATATTAAAGTTGCCTTCAAATATATTACAATACTTGTACATTTGCCAGCACTCCCTTTTTTAGGTCATCTTTTGAAACACTAGTGAAAAGATGAAGATGAAGTGCAGCTCTCAAGATTCTGCAGAACCTTCCTGCCCGCTCTTGGATTTTCCATTCATCTCAAGGCCCAGCGTCCATTAATGGTATGACGAACTGTCTAACTGGCAGTTTTCCCAGGCGCGATGGCCGAAGTGAAAGCGCCACCCAATTAAGCCAGTTTCGGGCTTAGCTAATTAGGACAGTCCACCCTTTTTCACTATTTCAGCTCACCGCCTTTCCTCTGGTCATTTTCTCGGGCTTTTCTTCAAAGTGTTTTTCTCACACAAAAATATAGAACCAGCTCCCTTTTGGAGTTTAGAGCGCGGCAAACAAAAAAAAAAAAAAAAAGAGCGCAGTCAACAACATAAAAAGTTTTTAGTTTACTGCTCGAAAATTAGAGCCCAAATTACCACAAAAGGAAGGGGAGGGGGGTTTCGATGTTTTCTCACTTTCTACAATAGCGTTCTAAGCTAAGAAAAGTGCTTAAACACTTTTCCAACTATCCAATTCATGATCACTTACCGACTGAGTCATCCTGCAATGATTTTACCAATTGTTTTCTCTTTTCTGTGAGAATTTTATCTGTTTTTGGGGGAAATTGTAAATAACGTACGGGCCTGAAGGGGTGAAGATACTGAGTTAATTAAATTCGACTTTCTGCGGTATTAGAACATTTTAAAATGCCTCGCTTGAAATTCTCTGCCAGCTCCAGCTTTTGTGGTCCAAACCGGATGCGGTAATTGCTGGGAAGTCGACGCTGGATTCTTCGTGACTTTACAGTTTGCCAAGAAGTTTGCGACCCTACAAAGTGTCTGAGTTATGAATCTTCCAAGTCGATATAACTTCAGATTTGCTGCTAGTCCGGTTTAATGGGTTTAAGGCTAATTTCAATCTGCGTTTTTGTGTTCATTCTTTTGGTCTATAATTTGCACATCAATTAATATTTATATAATCAGTCTCTGAGCCTCGTTTTCTTCTCTTGCTTAATTAGCTGATTATCTCTAAGGAAATCTCTTCAAGACACTTCAATAGTTTCTTTTCTCCTACTTGCACCCAAGAAAATATTCCCATAATCCAAAGCACCTAATAACATCCCATAGCAACCAAGTCTTATTTAGCAGGCAACTCTTGCGCAATATTTATCAGTATTTGTCCAAATTTTATGGCTCCAAAGTCAGGTGCCAGAATTTTAGGAGTATCTGCGATTCTTATTATCTCATGCTCACTGAAAAATTTACGATATTTGACCAGCCACGATATAGTCTGCTCTGAGGTAAGATAAATATTGACTTTAGTTTTCTGGGAGATTGCGATAAGGAAAAGATGATTTTAGTTTTCGTGGGATGTTGTTTTCTTATATTTCTTTGGGTCTCTATTAGCTTAGCGTTCGTTTCAGGGTCGCCTATCATCAGGTACATAAGTGCAAGTGCTCAGGCAATGCGTCTGTGTGGAAATCACATAAGGAAACAACAAAGATTTGATATGACCCTGTCGACTGATAAGCGGATTTCAGCTAAGTCCGTCCTTAGTCGGTAGACTTCTGTCAGCCATAATAGTGGCTTTATACGCTTGCCTTTGGTTACATTGGTATATGGCTACCTAAGTTAATGGTTTGTAAATTTTCGGAATGATAGTTACCAGCCAAGTGGTAAATTCAGGGCATCACATAGGTTATATGACACATTCATGGGATTAAAGGTGTTTAATTCTATTTTTCCTATTCAGTTTTTTCAAAGGAATACATGAAAGACTTTTGGTATAATTAAAACGGTATTAGCTTCCTTGGCCCCATTGGAAAGCTATATATTTCCAATTTTGGCGCAATTTGTGTCATTTCTTATTATAATACGGAGTCGAAAGGCACATATTGGGGACTTGGGGAGCGTTTTTATCCGTACTCACCTATTAAAGAGCAGCTGCAGAGGAAGAACAGCGCCAAAATGACGCCGACTGAATTTAGCGGCAGTTCACCCATTTTTATCGCTGGTTGTTGCAGTTGTAGTTGTTTTCTAGGTTTTCCGCTCGCAAAATGTTCTCGTTTTAACTTCTTTGGTTTGTTTACGGTTGCACACGAAAAAAATGTTTAAAAAATTTCAGTTTGTTTTCGTTGCTCGTGATTGCACAAATTATTGTATTTTGATTAACACTGTTCGTCTGGTGTTTTTGCTGGCTGTTTTGGTGTGTGAATCTGTAAGTATATTGATAATGAAAGAAAGATGAATTAGCTAAGGCTTCAATTTAAGTGCAGACAGATTTTGCTTTTAGTTTAGATTCATGGTAACTGGCTTTTGACGTTAGTTAATTCCGGCCTGAGAAGTTCATCTGCATTTGATATTTGTCATAACTTTAGCATTTCAGATTCAAATGGCAAATGTTGGCATTTATGGATGAGCAGAAGAGGAAGACGCATCGGCACGACACGACTGCTTTTCGGCGGTGTGAGCGAGATAGTGAGCGCCGAGATGTTGTGTGTGTGCGTGTGTGTCTTGTCTCCTTTGCATTCTAAAGTCTAAAGTCGGCGGCACCGAAGAAAAAAAAAGAAGAGGGAAAATGAAGAAAATAAAACCTGCTGCGCCGCCGACTTCGCACATGTTGGCCAGTTTTTGTAACGGAAATTGCGGAGTGCTAAGCAGTCGAAACACGTATTGCGGGAAATATTGTGGGGGGAACACAGACAGGGGAAGGGAGGGGGCTTTGGAAAAGGTAGGAGCGGAATGCCTAAGCTAAATTTTAGCTATAATTTTTTATTCTCTGCAGATCGTTATCTTTTGGATACGAGAGCGAAATGTATATTTCTTATCGCCATGAACTTATTTGTTTTCGTCTCTCCAACACTTCATGACTCAAGCTTCGCCTCTCTTACTCTCTCTCTCTCTCTGTCTGCTCAACGAAGTTGCACCTATGTACGTCAAGTGTCCTTGGGTTGCAACAAGTTCTAAAGTACAGTTATCACTCGCTTGCGAGTATCTCGAAAGCAAAACGCACATATTTTAGAAATAATAGACGATTGAGTAATAGAATTCAACGTGACTTCAGTGCAATGAGTAATAATTAAGGTAGAACAAGTGATCAATAAAACTAATGTTTCATTTACACTAACGACTTGCAAGCAGTGCACAAAGTTTGCAAACAGCGAAGTTTCTAACAATTGTGCGGTGCTGCTCTAAAACCATTCCGCTGAATGATCGTCCCACTTTTGCAAATAAATGCAGTCAGATTTTTAGTCACAACAGTCCCAGCGCAAGTAAATTTGTATACAAGCGAGGGACAACTGTAGCTGCTTCTTCGCGAGCTCGTCTTGCCACTAATCCCGCCTACTTTCCACAGCGGGACTTTCCAACCGGCCCCCCCATTTGGCTTACGGTTATTACAGTTACTGGATAATCGATATTTAGGGCAGGCCTTGACTTTTTTCTATAGGAACCTCGCGTATGTGTGTCTACGGCACGCGAAATTGGGAAAATTCCTCTTTCATCTCTCTTCATTCTTGCTTTTGGCAAATTGAGACATTGTTACAAAATACCCGGGAAGCAGTTTTAAATATTCATAAAGTTTCGAAAACGCTAATTATAATGAGAGACTTGGCCAGAAGGGAACTTCTGACAACGGAAGAGTTTTTGTGAATCTGTGCAAGTTGCACAAAGTTTAGAAGTTTTCCACTTGATATTCGTGAATTATTAATGCTGTCAAATGATTTGATTGTGAGTTTCGACGCTGCCGGAAAATTGTAATTACATTTTCCGCTTTCATTTGATTGCCTAAGATTGGCACAATAGTGGGGGGAATGTAATACGATTTTGTATTCTTAATTAAAATATTGCCTGGTTAAGTTTGATAACACCCAATAAACTAATTTATTAATACGAAACTAACATATTGTTCATAAAACTCCCAAAAGTAAAGCGGCAAAACTTTTCAAATAAGCACAGTATGAAGTCGAACAAGTTAATTTACCAACTTTGACTTTATTCCGGCTTGTTAAAAATTTAAACAAATATTTTAAATTACGTTAAAACTTTTGCCAGAAGCCGCAGTAAACCAAATAAACTTTTTGTTATGCGACACAAAGGCGATTTTGATAGACAAAGGAAAAACCAAACAGGCTAAAATTGATTGTGAAATTTGAGGATCTTTTCATTTCTATTTTTCTTTTTGCTGGTTAACATGCCAGATTAGTTGTGGAAACACTTTTCGGACTTTTCCCAATGTTTAACGTTTATTTTTTGTATGTTTCATATTTCCTATATGCCAGCTGCAAGAGTGAGTCAATTTCCAGTGCTCACTGTTGGTAGTAACAACAATAAAGTTGGCAGCGAAGCGGGCCCAAAAACCTGTTTTCCGTTTTATTTTTCTTGCTTTTCAGTTGATGTTGTTCTTTTTTTTCATATATGTTGTATGCACTTTTCCAACTCGATTATTGGGTGAGTTTTCAAAGGGTTTTCATAGAGGTTTTCATTGAAATAACTTTTGCACGTGACTCATTGGAATCTTTAGCTAAAACAACAAAACAGCATAGAGTTAGAGCGAGAGAGATACATTTGTGTTGTTTTTTGTCACACGCTAAAAAAAAGTTTAGAAAAAAATATGTACAAGAATGCCGCCGTTTATTTTTGGTTTTTGGGGAGCTGTCTCGGCATGTTTTTTTTCGAGTTTCTTTCCTCCACGGCCAAAGAATGCCTATTATGAGCAGTTATAATTATTATTTATTATTACCAATTTCTCATTGTTTAACTGGCACACTAACACACACGCACACGACGCGCCACGACCGTTAACACAGACGGTGAAGAGAGCGCGAGAGAATGCGAGTAAGAAGAGGAACCACTTCTACTGTCTCTATTTTCTTTGTTTTCTCTCAGCAAGCAGAGCACTCGACGCGTTGGCCGTCGAAACGTAACTGAAAGCACCGCCAGCGCTGCGGCCGCAAAATACCACAGCTATTGCCGCGCCACAAGATCTGGCAACCCCCAATGTTGCCAGCAGATGCGACGCAGCATGTTGCCAACCAAAAGTAAACCAGCGAGGGAGATAGCATGCGTTTAAATAGCGCAAATATGAATTTTAAGGAAATAAATGTTTACAATTTATAAAATCAATAGTCACAGCTCTTTTAAATGCAATTCATTTACAAATTATAATAATAATATTATTATTGGTGATTGGCAAAATATGTTTTCAGTGCAGAGTAAAAGAGGTGGAGAGTGTCTACCGTTAGGCGGCGTAGAATTCAGCTCTTTTCTTCTCGAGTGTCAGCAAGGTCAAACGCCGATGGGCGGAGAAACAAACTGGGCGGTGGCACTTAAGCCGCATTTCATCACTTTTACGAACGACTGGTGTCAGCTTTTTGACACGTTTTTGTTGCCCAATCTTTGTAGAGCCTTGTCAACAAACTTTCAGAACGGAGCACTAAAAATATAACTACTTACTTTATTCGGGGGCACTGAGTATAATGGTATTTTAAAGAGATACATGTATATTACGCAAAGTGTACTATCATAATGACAAGAATATTAAGTTTAGCTGAGGTATTCCCGATTAATATGTAACCCGAAAACCTCATATTCCAATTAGTTTTAAAAGATTATCTGGGAACACCATCTAAACATTCTTCGAAATTAGTGCATCATGTTGCCGAAACCTCTTGCAACATTTCGGTATGAGGAAAACCATAGTTAACGTCTTATTTTTCGGCATTTGGTTATACGATCTTGCTGTCGAAGAAACCGACGAATGGTTGCGAAAATCGGGTGGGAAGGCAAGACGAATTTTCCAGCTGGCAACATTTCGGAGACGGCCACTTGTTGCCCGCGCAACATCGAGATTCGATTCGAAACAAAAACTTCTTTTATGTTCAATTGCAGCGCTGTCAATTAAACCAGCCGGCGGAAAAATCGCGACGAGGGGGGTGATTTTCCCGGTTAAGTGGAAACAAAAAAATCCCAGTTACGTTTGAATGCGTTGTGTGCAATTTACTAAATGAAATTGCGTATAGATGCCAATGCGATGTATTCTGCAGTTATCATTGTTGTTTTGTTTCGTGTGTCGTGTGTGTGACGGAGCAATTTATCACCCTATACAGAGGGATATATGTACCTACATATATCTATATACCAGCGACACCCCTCTCCCGAAACACCAATAAGTGATTTATAGGATTGTTATTTTGTCGTTGATGTCGCACTTTCGCTGCGCTTTATTTATTGCTCAGAGTCTTCCTCTTTCTCCCACCCACAAAACAAAAACCCGATCCGCCCGATTTTGAGTGTTAATTTTATTTCACAGCCGCCCGAATTTTCCGAACTTTTCACAGATGAATATTGAATTGATCGGCTGGCTGTGGGAAATGTGGTGACAATTGTTCTTCATGCTTAATTAGATAATGCGTTCGACCTTTAACCTATGATGTGCCAGCGATGTGAATATTTTTGCTACCACATTCATTTGAATAAATACGATTTAAACATTGTTTTATGTTTGGCTTAAACCGTTTGTATTAAAATGTATTAATGATTTAATAAACAAAAATGTAATAAAAATAAATTAGAGCATAGGTAAAAATTTTAAGAATCATTGGTCTTGACATCAGAAAACTGATTTAAAAACAAAGGAAATATGCCCATTTCCCTCCGAGCACTGCAATTATTTAACATTTAAGGGAACAAGTGAACAATGGCGATACGTTGATCAAGCCTACTTGAAATGGTTTCGCCTGACCTGTGACCCCGAAATCCGACTATCTGCTACCTGATTTGATGGCCAGCCAGACAAATGAAGACGTCGATTTAGTTTTCAGATGGGTGGTCCCCGAATCAATCTCCAGCTATCTCGGCAATTTTGTTCTAATTTGTAGCCCGGATCGAGTTCGGTTTTTTTGGATGAACACCTGCATTTTTTGGTGGTGCATTAAGAATATGTTCTCAAATGACGGTAACCGCAGCCCGAGATCATTAGAAAATGGTTAATAACTCTATAAGCAATTAGATCCGAAGAGCTCCCCCGAGCACTCCGCTCAATTTCTGACAGGTTTTGTCCGCGCCGAGGAACCAAAACTCAATTCCAATCTCGGTATTGGCCAGAAACTTAAGCTGGGAATCATTAGTCCACGGGAATGACAGCCATTCAGAGGCCAAAATGATGAATTATGTTTTCAAATCGAACTCACAAAGCACAAATGTCGGATACAGAGTCGAAGTGCATATTTCTAGATATACTGTGGCCCTTATGTGGACTAAGGGTCGGAGGTGCTAACGTCGGATGCTCAATAATTAATTGATATTTAAGCATTCGCATCATGAGTTTATTTTACCAGGACCTGACGGCACAAATCAAAGGTGCACTCGGCCTGGAGCAAACAAAGGATATTGTATGGTATTATGCCCTAAACTTGGGTAAGATTGTTCCTTTGAGGATATTGCCCCCACTGAATACCATAAATTATGTTTTAAAAAAAACTTTGCTAGTTCCTAATCATTTGTTTTTAAAAGAGTTTTAGGGGATAGTTTACATTATTTTTCTATTGCCATTGCTGCTGGTTTTCCAGGAGTTTATTACATTTAAGCCCTTGGTTGCCACAAATGGGTTAATGAGTATCTATTGCTGCCAAGTCCATGGAAACCCCTCAACTTTTCGAGTGCGCCCACAGAACCCTTCCGTTATTATTATACCATTAAATGGCCCTCTCTTTTCTCCAAATAACCCTTGACCCAAGCAGAGCCAAAAACAAGTCGATGAGCCTCATCGCTTTGGTCTGTTGAAAACAGTCTCATTAAACCATCAGGACAATAAATGGACATGAAATATTTTCACAGTTGACCTTTAATGGGCTGAACCCCTTGCAGTACGAAAAATCCCCCACAACGTTCTAAACTTTCCAACTTCCGTCCGAATAGCAACCGCAAAAATCCGAACAACTATGCTAGGTATTCGATGGCTGGCGATTTTTGGTGTCACAGTCGACCCTTATTTTTCAGCACCCCCCAACCCGAGTTTTATTTCTATTTTGCTCGGACTATGGATTGTTTATTTGTTTGTTGACCTTTTAGCTCTTGGCGCGTGACTGTGACCATTTGTCTACTTTTCTTGCGCACGCGTGCCCCGATATTCGTACTTCATACGTCCATTCCGAAAATATTTTGGGGTGAAATCAGCCGCCCCTTTTGTTTTAAAAACATTTCGTCCCCTTGCCATTTTCGGTTTTCAATTAAATTGCCAAAAATTATTGCTCGTGGGTGTGTGGAGAAAATGATAGTGCGAAAAGGAGCAGGGCTTGGAAAATGGATTTTTTCAATTCGACGGGGGGTTTATTAGGCAGAATGGCCGAAGTCGGAGTCACCATTGTGTAACGGCTATTGCGACCAGTTCATTTCCTGTTACGTATTTAGCGATTTGATTTAATTGAACGAATTTCAGTTTGGTATTTAAAGGTCTTTGATGGAATGGGACTCACTTTCGGGATGGGACTCATTTGGTCGGTGGTCAGCAGAGAAATGGTGGGTACCAAAATAAAACTGACTTTAACGAGGGCGAAAGGGGATTGTTTAAGGAGAGATAATGGTAAAATAGCCTGGTTAAATGTGTTCTTTTCTGGTTTATAAACAAACTCCTGTTTTCTCCATTTGAATTTTTTTTAATTGCCTCAGTGCTGTCGAATATATAAATCGTGGACAGTCGTATGATCTCAATAAGTAATCGAATACATCTGCATTCAAAATAATAGGAAATACCTAAAAAAAAAAAAAAATGCTACAATTTTCAACTTTTTTAATTATAGAAAATTGGCGAAAAATGTTTTTTTTTAACTATAATAAAAATGCAATTCATATTAAAATAATGATAGTGATATTTGACAGTTTTGTTTTGAACTTTAAGTGAAATTTTAAAATATTTACTCTGTACAATTTTAAGGGTCTGAAACATTTATTGCCGAATTTCGATTCCTGAAATATTTGTGCAAATTGTGGAAGCCAGCAATCAATTCACCTGGCGACAGTCAATCTGAGCCAAAACGTCACGGGGCATAATCCGCCGAAATTGTGCATTCAAAACAGACTTAAAACCCGAGGACCGAGGAGAATTTGAAACCAGGAATTTGGGAACAATGGACAAAGGGGTGTGGAAAGGACAATTAGCGTCGGCCGCAGCTAATTATGATCCCATCGCCGCGGGTGGTGAACAAACATATATGTACTGTACTATACTATATAGGTGAGTCTGGAGTCTGGGGTCTGGAAACTCAAACTCATTTGCGGTCCAATGCACCGGGGGGAGACCCAATTTCACTTTTCCTCGTTGCGTTGACATTTTCCGCATAGATTGTGAAACCCTTAATTAACTTTCGAGGGTAAATAAGGACCCCGGATATGTCCACTAATCCAGAGAGACTTTCGTTTTGTTTTGTTGTGTTTTGTTTGCCACGTTTGCAACGTGAGCAGGACATCCGAGACGCCACCAAAGGACCAAACAAACCAAACAAAACAAGCACAAACGGCCCATCCCCAATCTCCTGGTTTTTTGTTTCTCGCTTTCGATGTCGCGTGCTTCTCATCATCCACATATCCTCTTTAGTTTAGTTTCCCGAGAATACATGTATTTTCTATAAAGATTCCTTAAGTTAAGAACTTCTAGCTAAATACTTGAAGTATTTATTGGAACCGTCAGGTTCACTTTTAAGACATCGTTTTCTTATACAAACCTATATATTTTATTCTTTACAGTGGACCTTGGATCAATACCACACCTTCTGGAAATTGTAGACCATCAATCAAAAACTCGGCTTCTAGGTAATTATCCAGCCTATGGTATTCCCAATTGGACGATTATTTTTCTCAGTACAGTTGGCAGAAGGGCAAATAACATTCGAAATTTACACGTACTGCGGCGAATTGGGAGGGCAATCGCCGTATCCTGACCACAGACATCCTGCCAAACACCCGCACCTCCTGTCGGAAAACCCACCTGAGTCCTTCGGCTCCTTTGTCCTTTGCCGGGCACTCATTATGCCATGTGGTCAAACACAAAGTATGTCTGCATGTGGTGCGGTCCAACAACGTTACTTTGAAGCTATATATATCCACGTAACTGTATATACATGCATGTATTGTTATATGGCTATAGGCGGTATGCGAACACAAAAAATGTAACAAAATAATTCCCATGCCAACATTTCCGGGAGCTGAGCAAATTTAGGGCTTCTCACCCGTGCGAGGAATGTGTGGATAATGCGTTGCCATTTAACGCATTACTGAGCCCTGCTCATCGCAGAAAAAAGGACGCTAAAAAGGGCGTGGCTAAATTCCAACTCCAGGATACTCCGGGCATATTGCATACTTTATTATATTGAGGCATTATACACATGTAATGTTTTATAATGTCATTGCAAATTTATTTTGCATTTCTGCGAAATGTTACCATTTATCAATATTAATATTACTACTTAAATGATGCATTTTTCGAGTATACCTTTTGCCCTTGAGAGTTACGGGGTATAAACACAGCGTCTGCGGCTGTGGGTATTTTTTTTAGCCTTAATTATTAGCTTTTGGTTGGATAAGGCGTCGCTGTGTCTGGCTGTCTCGAAAGGATGCTTTTGTTGTGGTCAATGGAATACGATTTTTTCCAAGCAACCTGGGTATCCTTTTTACTCCTTGAGTGGCAGGACAAGGGCCACCTCCATAGAGGCTGAAGCTAAGTTTTATGTGGCATGAGATCAACAGCTCTGAGGAATTTCTTCATCATGCTTGATTTTTTCAAAGATGTATCCGTATAAAATTTCGTTGTAAAATATTTCCTAGAGTACTATACTCGACACAAATGTTTTTATCAAATCCCACAAAAAGTACTTTAGCGTTCCCAGAAATATCTCAAATCAGCCGAGCGTTTTTACTTTTAAATAGCTAATGGTCAATTAATCGGAGAATTGTGATTAGATCGTAGCAAATTGTGTACTTTATTACTCATCAGAGGAAAGTACCAGCATAGTTTTATTATCTAGCCAGTAACTATCTGACCAAGCCCGAAATTGGGAAACCAGAGATCCGTGCCGCGCCGTAAAATGAGAACAAGAACCGTGCGAACGTAATCGGATCGCTTTTTTGGGCATAGGAACCTGCGTTACCATCCAATTTCCAACCGCTAATCTAGGCGGGGAGTCTTGTGCGCTATTTATCGATGAGAGCGTGGCCTTTATTTCGGAATTCGGTTTAGGGTTTCGCTTTTGGAGATCCGGGTAGAAAGGAAATGTCAATATTTGTCATTACCGCGTGGCATTTTCTAGCGAATTTCTTCGACGCTTTGTCTACGGTAATTTTTTTTCCTTGTGGGGGTTTTTCGGGGTTTGGTTTCGTCGGCTTTTCCTTTGTGCCCGCAACGGCCATTAAAACCAACAAAGGCGAAACAAAGGCCGCCGTGCGCCGTGTGATTATGTAAGACGCAGTTGCACATCGGGCTCATATTTGCTTTGGCAAAATACCACACATTGCAGGCGGAAATCCACAGCCAGAGCCAGGAATCCGGGCAACCAGAACCAAAACCATAGTCAGAAACGAACGAAACACAGACGCGGCACTGTTTGGATTGGCCTCTTCCGTTTCCGATAATCGGATATAGCGGTGTTAATATATGTACGAGTATACTCAAATGGTGTGACCAGAAAACAAAGAAATTACATTTAAAACTTTTTTAAATCAAAGTCCTAGGGTTGTTTACTTTAATGGAAGCAAGATTTCAGATTTAGCAATTTAGCGCTGTCAGACATCACTTGCATTAGTTGTCAAAATCGGGAACGTCGAAAATTAGAGTCTCTGTTTTATCAAACGATTGTGAAAAATTTTCATTTTTAAAATTCGTAAGCAACACAAAGATTTTGTACATTTAAATACTTTATACGATTGGCTTTACATAGGAAGAAAATGAAGAAGGACGCAAATGATAAAATCCCCGAAAATTTCGATTTCGATGAGGAGGTCGCTCGTCTTATGGTCGAATATGACGTGATAATTGTAGCTGAATGGGATGAATCAATTTTTGATGAGATTGAATTTGAGGACAGCAACGAGGGCGACCACAATCCAACACCTAATGAGGGCAATCAGTAGGTGCGATAACGCAAAGATATATATTTAAATAATGGAGCTCTGGATACTGCATTTTTCACAATCTGTTTGTTATCATTAACTCTCATTAAAATTCTTTGCCATATTGCCATGTAGTCATCCGTCATGATCTGTTTTCAGGATCACTTATAGTCCTATAGCCCATCGCTCACTTGTGCTCTAAGCGGATTAGGTTTCATCCAAAAACGTGTACAGGACAATGGACTAAAAAGTAAAACAAAAAGGGAAACACGGGCAACCCTCGAACAATGAACCATGTGGCAAGTGGATTCGCAGCTTGTAATCCGCCACCCCCGCCTTATAAGCCCTTATATATCCTTAGGGTCTATCCAAAAATGCACTTGCTACATGGTTATTGCATCATCGCCTTATTGCCGTAATGCGATTAGCATTCATTTTTAATCGGGCCTCATTGAAATTGGGTTTTTTGTCTAAGTCTTTCGATGGCTTTGTCTTTTCGCACTTCTAGTGCTTTTAACATATACATTTCAGAAAAAAATGCCCGATAAATCATAACAACCAAAAAAGCCGATTTTGAATCTTTTTTAATGCCATTAAACTTGGAAATATTCATAGAAGCATATTACTTTTTCTTTTTAATAATTTAGATGTACATGTTTCAATAAGACTGAAATATTGTATTTTTTGTATCATGTAAATACATATATAACTTTGCTTTGGCTGCTCATTACAAAATTTTTCGGGCGGGTATTCTTGTGTGAAGTGGTCCATTGTCAGTGCCGCAGACCAGAAACGCAAACTGTCTCGAGAGCGAGCGACTTGAGGCCGACAAAGTTGTGGCAAGAGTACAGTCACCACCGTTGGCCAACCCCTGACCCCTGACCCCTCCGCAATGACAACCCCCGGTGGAACAAAGGAGTTGAATGGTCGCCAATGGAGTGGGTAAGCGTGGAGCGTGCTCAGCCTGTGAAATTGCAAACCAGAGCAACACTTTCATCGATAATCACGAGGGTCACTCGGTGGGTCAAGTGTCGTCGCAGCGCGTGCCAACCCCTTTAAAATGGGCGAAGAACACGTGAAGATCTGGAGAATTTAAATGGGGCCAGATGGGGAAATGTGTGAGCATTATATATGCAAATCAAAGGGAGTTATTGAGAAGAAGTATCTAAATTTATTGAAATTGAAATCGAAATTAAAAAGTGAATATGTTTAAATCTATTCCCAGCCAATCTGTTCCCAAACTGCAGCCCGTGAGTATGCAATAAATAATTTCAGACTGCTGGGCGAAAAAAGGCAGCACAAAAGCAGGCAACAACAAACAGATTCCATTTAGATATTCGTTTGGTTTCAATTGCAAATTTATAGTTTGTAGTTCCATCTGCAGTATCGCTCCATCTGTTTCCGTTTGCACTCGTAGTGTTTGCTTTTAACTAACGTGGCACAGCCGCATTCAAATCAGCTTAATTAAATTGTAATTGGATATGTTTTTTCGCCTAGAAACTGACACAAACAAGCGAAAACCGAGGGTTCTGGGAACGGGGAAATGGAAAATGGGAATTGGAATGGTGGTTGATGGCTGTCGCTTGATAAGCTCATCGCGTGAATTGTCTTTAAAGCTGCGGACAAGCGTCTCTATCCGTCCAGCCATCCATCTGTAGCCATTTCTATATATGCCGCCCACCAGCACACCCTAATCCCATCAGGAACAGTGATGTCAGCGAAACTGTCGAAAGAAGTCAACTGTTTTTCGTTTTTCGGTCCGTTTTGCTCCTGGCAGAATGGCTAAGCATATTATTTTGAATTTCAAATAATGCATGCCTTTATAGCTCTCATTATTGTGAGATCAAAATCTGTTCAGATTGCGCATGCATTTCCTAGAATGTAGTGTTACTGAAATACTACTCTCATACAAATACTCTCTCATACTGCATAACTTTAAAAAAAAACTTCGTTACAAACTTCGTTAACAATTCAGGCAGTCCAAGATCAGTTGAAGAAATAATATATTTAAAATAGCCAAATTGTCAGCATTTTGGTAGAGGCTGTTGCTTCTTGTTTATGCAACGAAACTAATTTAAAGTGCTTCACGCGGCGGTCCCATAATCCGCTGCCATGGTGTGCGTGTGTCTCCCCCTCTCTTTCCCACGCTTTTCCTCTCTGTCTCCTTGGCTCTGTGTGTGATAACTTCGTTAAGTTGTTGACACGCATACATTTATATATATTTCCGCATATGGGGGTAAGTAATAATAACAATATAGTCAGTAATTAAATGACACTGGCACGTGGCGCGATGAAGCCAACCACAAAGTTCACAGGATATCCAAAGGGAACACCCACACACAGAGGCCCAAAGCCCCGGACAAGAAAACTATATATCAGTGATTTTTAGGGCCAATCAAACTGGGTTGGTTACCAAATCTTTATATGCAATATACTACATACATTCGTTCAACTATTAGAACTAATTTTTTTTAGCATTCAGTTCTCTGTGCACAAAAAATGTCAAAATATTTCAAATACTCTTGAAGACCATTTAAGCCTAAGCCTAAATATAATTCTGAAAGGTAAATGCTAACCTATCTTTTAAAAGCTGTTTTCATCTAAGCATAGGTATGCAATGTGGTTACCGCTTATAAACAAGCGAATACCAAATTCTTTATGCGAATTTCCGAGTGCCGAATAATTTTGGAACAGATCTAAAGGATAAATATTTTCGTTGGAGATTATTTCGCCCATTTGATTAGAAATTCGAGCCCGTTCAGGGCGCAACAGTGTGCCATATTTGCGGCTTCGTTTCATTTGGAAATTTCGTACGACCACTGCCACTGCCACTGCCACTGCCACAGTCGCAGTTGCAAATATCGAAATGGAGAAGGGGAATCCGACTGTGGCTGCTGCGGCAAATCGTTGACATCATTCACATTCAACTATTTGCACAACAAATTCAAGTAAATCTTTGCACGAATTAAATTCCATTTGTTTACGACTCAATGAAAAGCCACAAAGCTTCTGCCAATAGGCTTTCGCTGTCAGTTTGATTTATATATATATATATATATATACTTGTACATATATATCTAGATACATACATACACATATATGAATGTATGTGCATTCGCTGGTTGAGATACGGAATTTATAGCCTGTGTTTTTGGCACAATTAAGATTTGCGCACATAAACGCCTCAACTTGTGTTGGCATTAAGTGCTTTGCTCAAAAACTTTTAATTGAAATAATTTGTAAAGGCCTCTGGGGGCCCAAGGAGACTTCAACTTTTGAACAAAAAGGCGAAATATTTCCTTATTCCATACATCCAAAAACACACGAACGTAAATACTTTTCCAAACTCTGCAGGCATTTTGACTTACAGCTAAAACAATAAAGGTTCTTCAATCACATATTTTATGCCCGAATGCCACAAGGACATCAACGTTACTAATTGATTCGTTCGTTATTGACTTCAATTTGTACGGTGGCTCTTAGGGTAAAATATTGATATTGAATACCACCTTAGACTAGTAGATAAATATCAATAAATTAAATATGGATACTTTTTCCTTTTAAGTTTATTCGATCTATACTATGTAACCCTTGTCGTTGCTAAACTTGTAGCAGAAACGCTTGAAACAAATCCTGCGCCTTATAGTAGTTGGATTTGCTTCGGTAGTTGTTGTGGTTGTAGTTGCGGTTGCAGTTTCTGTTGTGGATTCTGTTGTGGAATTCAAACTGAGAGTGGAACTAACCAAAACACTCGATGTGGAGTTAGTAGATGTTTCCGAAGCCTCCGTTGTCACTTCTGTGGAAGTTCCAGGTGCCGGAGAAGTGGTCACCAAAGTGGTGCCATTTGAAGTCGGCGGCAATGTGGTGGTTATATTACTAATTTCCAGTTCCAGGAAATTCAACAAAGAATCCATGAATTTCTGTATAGAGCTACGATCCTCGGCAGTGAAGGTTTGGGCCTCGGAAAACCCCAAAATGCAACTACTTCCCACGAGGGAAACGATCAAGAGAAGCACGAAGTGATGATCCTGGTTGAACGCTGTCATTTCGATCAAGTTAATTGTTCTAGGTTCTTTACGCACTGCGCAAATTTGCTGTCAGCACTTAAGCATTTATACTACTAGGTATCGCTATGCGGAAATTTTGGGACAGCTGGGGTTACGTGCTGAACCCCCAAAAAAATATGATAGTTCTTTGCGTTTTTGACCAGCTGGGTCACTGGCTAATCTAACAATAAAACTTGGGTTTAAAACATTCTTTGAAGATATTTGCTGGTATTAATCATCAATGTTTTTGTGGTTTTCCTACTCAATGAAAAACACAAAGCTATGAACGTTCATTCATAGTAAACAAACTAGCAATGGAGCCGCGGAGAAATGTGTGTTGAGCTTGTTATTTTATTGAGTGAAATACTAAAACAATTGGAAGTTAAGTTAATTTGACGTTGTTGAAGGGTTAGGATCTTTGATTCAGTATAATGTATATGTAATATGGAAAATGTACCTATTTAAACATTTTCTCCTAAGAAAGCTACACTGAAGCTGCCTTGTAATAGTGCAACAGCTTACTGATTTAAGCTTACTACCCGTGCAGAGGTCCACATCAAAATCGATGGTAATCTTGGGAGCACACCGCTTTACGACTGATTTCCTCAAGTTGAATCCAACGGATCAACACCCACTCATTAGCCGCAAAAGATAAGAAGATCGGTACGGAGCATGCCAAAAGAATTCTTCTGCACGCATATCGACAACGATATTGATGTTGGGGAGGCACGTTTTACAGCATGCCAGTGAGATTATCTCGCTGGGCTTGATGGCGATAAGCTGGCAAAAGACGTATAAAAGAGCTGGCAAGAGCAGCGAAATCTATCAATCACCATCAACTCAAGTTAGTGGCAACAACCATCGCTATGTGGCGCCTTCATTTGTTCCTACTCCTGTCCACCTGCTTTCTGGTTCCCCACGATGGCAAGCCCACGAAACGAACCCCAGTTGGATTTTCATCGACCACACTGGCGTCGCTGCTTCTGGAAACGGAAACTAGCAATGGAACCACGGATCTACCCACAAGTACCGAAACTACGACCCTGAGGACGCAGCGAGTGACAAACATTGGAAGATTGGCCTCCAAGGATTTAGCCGATTTGCTTTTGGCCAGTATGCAGGCACGGGGTGGCAAGTTCACCTCCTTCCAGGAATCCACCATCAAATCGCTGCGCACCGAGGAGAACAAGGATACGAAGGGCAACAATATGTTCCTGCAGATTGGCATGGATGTAATCATTGACATCTTAGTCGGAGCTCGTTATAACGCCACTTGTGGAAGGATCATCCAGGACATCGATCAGTCACAGGACCAAAACAGCCTGACCTTGACACTCAAATCGTTTTTGGCCCTCTGCTTCTTCAATAGCATCGAGTGCGCCAAGCATGAGGTGAGCCAAGTGATCAAGAGCACCCAAATGCGCCAGAGGCAGCAGAACAAGATCGTTCAGGATGACAACCAGCAGGCGGAGGGCTCGGGTCTTCGCACCGTCCGTCGCGTGGGCGTGGTCAAGGACGATCGCAACTCGGTGCTGAAGTTCCTGCAGGCACGCAACAGCACCGAACTGACCACCATCCTTAACACCCTGCTGCCGATGTGCGGAGCCTCGGCCGGCGAGACCCACAAAATCATTAGGAATTTAAGTGAGAGTAAGTATCTGGCGAGAAGCGCCAGTCTTAGTATGTAAAATTTTTTAAATACTGATTTTTAACCTATTCGATTTATTCCCTATCCTTTCAGTGGGTCCCAACAGCTTCAGCTTGTTGCAAGTGAACGCTTTCAGCATGCTTGCCGTATCACTTTTGGACAGTCTATCGACCATTGCCGAAGGTAAGACCACCGGCTTGTGCTCCGCCGCCCCCGAAAGCTGGATCGTCCGCCTGCTGGCAATGGGCGTGGACAAAGTGGTGCTAATGGGCCTGATGACCGCCCTCGATCGTACTATCAGCAACTCCACTACCGCTGAAATGGCCAATGCCGCAGAGCTCAACAGCATCAATGGTGGCGATCTCCTAGACCCAAAGTCCAAGGTTGACCAAAAGACTGCGGCCAAGCGAGCCATTCGTAAGTAAAATAAGATTATTTTTCCATTGAAAGGAGATCTGTTTTCCATTTTTTTCACAACGTTTTGAACACAATCCCTAACGTTTTTATTTAATTTTTGCAGTGGATTCTGGCGTGGGTAACGACTTCAACTGTAAGTTTGCCTCATTTTCTCCAATAGACAGACATATATAATTTGATATATTTTATATTTATATTTACAGTGGCACCATCAGTCCAAGAGATTGGCAATTCAAACACGATTACTGATCTCATCAACGCCAATGTGCCAGTGGGAGCTGTTCTCCCTGTGTTGAGTGACATCAACGGTCCTGGTTTCACCGGCAACACTTTAAATCGTAAGTTTAGATCGTGGTTAAGTTAATAATTTTTATATTTTTAACCTATGACTTTTTTGCAGAGGGATCTGATGTGGTGGTCAATGGTACAGGAAACACTTTTACCCGCTTGGTGGGCGCTAGGGTTCCGGTTTTAGCTACTGCTCCGGTTTTGGCTACAATCAACAGTGGAAGTTCCAGTTCCTCCTCTTCGAGTCCATCTACTAGTTCGGGATCATCTGGGTCTTCAACGTCGGGCTCTACTGGCTCTACTGGCTCTACTGGCTCTTCAGGTTCGGGTTCCACAGCTTCTTCCTCTGCCACACCTAGTTCTTCTGGATCGTCGGTAATTGGCAACAATGTGAATGGTAATTTCTATCTTATATATTTTTGTATATTTTTACACTTATGCGGCTGCATTATATCCATCTTAATTTTAGTTAAAGGCGATTCTATAAATGGAAATAAGAATTTCCTTTTCAAACTAATTGATCTTGGTCTGCCGATCTCCTTGGCCGCTCCAGTTCTGAGTATCATTAATCAGGGCTCTGCCACTGGTTCATCGACTGGTTCTTCCACTGGTTCTTCAACTGGTTCTTCCACTGGTTCATCCTCTGGTTCTGCGGGTGTTACTTCAACTGGTTCTTCAAGTGGCTCCCCAGGCGCCTCAGTGGGAAACAATGCAAACAGTAAGCTGACGAGTTTGTTTTGTCCTTTGAAAGTTACTTATATACCTTAAATAACTTATTTAATAGTCGACCCCAGCGTTGATATTGTTGGAAATAACAACCAAATTACCAAGGTCGCTGATGCCAACGTTGATGCATTGGCTAATATCCCGGTCCTTAGCAAAATAACTGGAGCTGGCTTTGCAAATAATCTGAATCGTAAGTACACTCCTTCTAAAAGTGGTGTTTCACTAATTAATTGCTCTTCTATGTTTTAGAAAAACCCAATATAGTTATTAGAGGTGATGGAAATAAGATTACTAAGGTCGTAGACGTCAATGCTCCCGTTTTGGCGGGTGTTTCGGCGCTCAGCAGCATCACCAATGCCGGTGGATCATCCAGTGGCGGATCAAGCAGTGGATCTTCTGGAAGCGGATCCTCCTCTTCGGGAGCTTTGGGTGCATTAAGTGGTCTCACAGGCGGCTCAGGAGGATCCTCTTCAGATGGCCTTCTCGGAGGTCTTCTTGGCAATGTCGTTGGCGACGTGGTACCCAGTGTTGGTGGAGTTGTCTCCGGCGTCGTTCAAACAGTGGAGCCCGTTCTTGGTACTGTGCTGAATACAGTGGAGCCCGTTCTTGGTACTGTGCTGAATACAGTGGAGCCCGTACTTGGTACTGTCCTAAACACAGTGGAGCCCGTTCTTGGCGGAGTTCTTGGTGGTGCGACTGGCGGTTCTTCTAGTTCCTCGAGTCCTCTTGGCGGCGTTACTAACCTTTTGGGAGGAGGCGGTTCCTCCTCCATAATTGGAAACAGTGCCAGTAGCGGTCCCAATACTTTGGTCACCGGCAACAATAACAACATCGTTCGATTGGTGGATGTCAATGGATTGGTCCTTGCCGACATTCCCATTTTGAGCAGCATAGTTAATCTTTTGGGAGGGTCGGGACTAATCGGAAACTCAGCCAACAGTAAGTTTAATGGGTTACCAGTCTCCATTTGGAACGTCCTTTAATGAATACATATTATTACTCTTGCAGAGGGTCCCAAGACTGTCGTTATCGGTGACAATAATCGTATTGTGAAGCTGATCAACGTTGATCTGTGGGTGTTGGCTTTCCTCGACGTTCTCAACATAATCCGCGGAAGTGGAGGTGTTTGCAACCAGCTTAACTGTAAGTGAAGATAGACTTGATGATGCGTGATCTCTTATTGATTGATTATACATAATTTTTAGCTGGACCTAACACTGAGATCATTGGCAATAACAACGATGTGGTTCAACTGGTTGATGTGGATTTGAGCGTGTTGCTTGTGGTTGATTTGCTGAGTCACTTGATCACCAATGTGGCCAATGACTGCAGCGGCACTACGACAGTTACACCCGTTACAAGTCCACCTACTCAGCCGCCAACTGAGCCGCCAACTGAGCCGCCAACTCAGCCGCCAACTCAGCCGCCTACTCAGCCGCCAACTGAGCCACCAACCCAGCCTCCCACTGAGCCCCCCACTCAGCCTCCAACTGAGCCACCCAGCTATGGGCCGCCCACCAATGAGCCGCCCACCAATGAGCCGCCCACCAATCAGCCACCCACCAATCAGCCACCCACCAGCAGGCCACCCACCGGTCAGCCACCCACACACCGCCCACCGTCACCCAGTCCCAACAACTGCTATCGCAGATACTGCCGCAAGTGGCGCACTCGTCCCAGCTACTTGTGCTACAAGAACTGCGGTGGTGCCTTCGTCTACAAGCCCTAAATCAGTAACCGTGCACAGCCACCACTATCGAAACCGAGAGAACCACCCAAACCACCGGCTGCACAGGTACTCAATCTTGGTATGCGTGGCTCTGCCATCCTCACTGCCTTTGGGCATTTATTTATTTTTTGTGCTTTCTAAGCAATCTGTTTAATTTATTTGAAATATATATTACACATGTTAAATCGATAACTAAAGTGGTTTGTCAAATATCAGGGATTAAGCGAAAATAAGGGATTGAGCGCTTCAGCTCAAAGGATCATAAATAAATGTTTGAAAAATCCAAATTATTTACATAAGCCGTCGCTTTAGGTGAAATTATTTGACACTTTATTCAAACACCAAATGCAATTACATTTACCCCCGCCACAGGAAAAAAGTTTAAACGAAAACAAAAAGCTACGCTTTATAAATAAAAGATAACATTATTAACAAAGACCACCCATAGACGAGCGCCGCAGCAAAATACGTAAACCTCTGAAGTTAGACAAATGGTCGTCAACCGGTGGAAATTGGGGAATTTTCCGGGGGGGAAAGCCATCCGGAACGTGCCTCACGCCGCATGAAATCATAATGAAAGCAATAAAAGCATCACCAACAACCAGAAACAGAGCCCAGAACCGACAGCCCACAACCCAAAGCAAAAGGCCCAGAGCACAGAGCACAGAGCCCAGAGCCCAGAAACAGAAACAGAAACAAAACCATTCAAGAACGATGTCGGCGCTTGAGGTGCGAGTGTCTCACCTCATAATTGATGACCTAAGTAATTTGTTATGGCTATGAAACGTGTGGCAAACACAAAAAACGCTGCCGCAGCACGACAACTGCGGAAGAGCGAAATATTGAAGCAATTATAAAATTTACAGCAAACCCAAAAAAAAAAAAGCCCACGGGGCTGACACAAAATGTGGGAAAAGTTTTCCAGGGGTGTCGTGGATGGAGTATCTTTTTGGCCTGCTAATGATAACCATCCGTGGGTTGTCGGGTGTTAAATATTATGCAACACCTCGGAGACGCAATTGGGTTGCCAAAACGACAGCAGTCCAATGATTGCCGGCACCTGGGGAACCTCAAGACGGCAAATGGCCATTTGGGGAGGTCAATCTTCTGCTCAAAAGTGGTTAGCATAAAGTATGGCCCACTTAAAACACCTCGTAAGCAGGTTGTGGAAACCGAAGAAACGTCTTATTTTGGTTGATAAATGGAATTGCTGATATTTATTACTAAATTATTTATTAGAACTTGTAAGCCCTGTAAGCTCAGACTTCCATGTTAAATTCGTAACATGGGCGTGAGTTTTTTCTATCACTTCTTAAAAGTGCAGACCAACTTAATAGAATATAGACAAACTTTTAGGGATATCCCTATTTTATATAGCACTTAAATAACATATTTTTTTGCACTTTTAAACGTACAAAACGGTGCGGCAAATCTATCTTCTCTCCTTATTGCTACTTCTTAGCTGAATTCAGCCCATTAAGTGTATATAAACTTTCCATCACTTGTTGCCAATTTGTGTTGGTGGCGAAACCCCTTTTTCACCAGACTTCAGTGGGGAACCGAGACAATCGATATCCAGCACGGGGCATTGGGCATTGAAAATGCAGCAGACTGTTAGGCGCAGACATGTTTTATGTACTTGTCAGTCAGCCAGTCAGACAGACAGACATTTGCGAGACGAGGAGCGGGACGTCGAGCAGGAGTGGAAGTTGCACGGCCGTACAAGTTGCAAGTTCCGCACAACAGTTGCGCCCATTCTCGTCTTACTTTCGCTCTGGCTTATTCTTCTTTCCGCCGTTGCCTTTTATTATTGTACATAATTTGCACGTGCTGCGAATATCTAAAATTTACGACCGGCATAGAGACACACCGAGAGCGAAAGTGCACAGGTTGGTTGTCTGCGGAGGAATCGGGGGATTTCGTTTGGTTTGGTCCTGTGTGGTGGGATGTGGGTGGGTTGGTTGGAAATGCGAGTACCAGGGGTTGGTGTTTTCGTGTACATTATTTTGCTTTCAAGCGTTGAAATAAAAGGAAAAGTCGCCGAGCTTTAAATGAGTAGCAGGCCACAGAGAAAGAAAAAAAGGAATATTGAACGAACTCATAGTTAACTTCTGAAATTTTAATTTGGTCCCAGTTGGTATTTAATCTGCTGCGAAACATGCGAAAGATGGTCCTTTTCTAAGCCATTCTGCTTGATATTTTCTCTGAGTGCAGCCACCGTCCACTGGGTCGACCCCGCCCCATTTTCGCTGTCTCTAGGTGAGTGAAATCTTCTACAAGCTGCCCCTCGGGATCCCTTCGGCCCGTCTGCCCCCATCCAGCCTGTCTGTCTGGCTGACTGGCTGACTGGCTTGCTTACTTTTACACGTTTTATGTCGAAAATAAATGTGAACTAATGCATTTTTATTAATATATACAAGCGTGCTGGGAATTCCAAGCTAGGAAATGATGTCGGCTGGGGATATATAGATACACCACGCCCCCGTGTGAAAGCCACCGCCCGCTGACGATGATTAAGCGTAAAAACCGCAAATGTTTTTTAAATGCAGTGCAAATGCTTGTGGGTCATGCCCGGTGCTTTGCTTTTTTGGCTTTAGCTTTGGCTTTGGCTTCTGGCGGGGCACGGCGGAGTGCAGAGGAGACGCTTCTTTTAAGCCAGCTAAGTGAGTAGTTTGTTGAATCGTGTTGAAATATTTAGCACAACGTCTACGTGCCGACATTGTGTGGTCGCACTCATCTGCAATTGGATTTCGGATTTACAGCGAGCCAACAGCTACGAAAAAATTGGAAAATAAAAGTGTGCCAGGACACATATCCGCGTGCGAAATGCTCGCCTGTTTGGGTGTAAATGGATATTTGGCCCTAGAGAAAGTGCCAAATGCCGATTACCCAGATGCTTCATTTGGTAAAATCAAATGGACAGGCACTTTAAAGAATATTATTTTAGGCATAGCTATATAGCTTCAGGGCACAAAAGTGCTGGACATGTATTTGGGATCTGGAATTTGGCTCTGCGACTCAGACGATATGATCCACTTTATTTCAATGCGTCCAACTGGCAAGCGAACTGAGAAATGAAAAAGCCAACAAAGTGTCAATGAGGGGGGTGTTTCTTTGAGGGGGGTGAGTGAGGGGCTGCGCGGACGGCACTTTGCATACCAAGAAGTGTGCTGGGGAGTGGGCGGAATAAATAGGAAAAGCAAATAGCGCGCCGCTCTATTGACATTTTAGGGTTTCATTGTAAAGCAATTTAAATTATTGTGTGTATTTTCTATTTCACTCAGCTTCTATTTCTTTTCTTCGCCTTTATTTGCTCCATCTCCCCATTCTCCATGTACATTATATATGTATGTGTATGTGTATGTGTGTGTGCCTGTACTTTTTGGGGTAAGAAACATTTTCAACTTAAGCATTCAGGACATCGTGTCCGCGACTCGTGTCCTGTCCTGTTCTGTTCTGTTCTGTTATCTTCTGTTCTGTGCCGTTCTGTTCTATTCTATTTTATTCTCTGGATCCTTTTGGCTGGATTTTATTTTGTGCAAATTTTTCAAATGTTATCCTTAATTTAGTTTATAAGTAGATGCCAGGCACGTTCCAGGCAAATGACATTTTATTTGTGGATTTTTATAGACTTTCCTTATGCGAACACTCGCTCATCCCCAAGAAACGCCCCATTTTTTGTGTGTCGTAGTGGGAAACCCGAAAAATAGGTCGTAATTTGTGTTTTTCTTGTGAGTTTCAATTTTTTGTATGTCCTTGCTGTGGATTTTATTTTCGGGTTTTGAAGGGCTGCAGCACATGTGTCTTTGATGAGTCGGGCACGATGTACTAGGCGTTAGAAAGTGGGCGTGGTGATTGGTTCATTTTTCGGGACTGATAAGCATCCTTCAAAATTAACCTTTCCATAGAAGGATACAAAATTTCGTATTTCATATTTCCCTCGTTTGCTTTGCATATATGTAGATGCAAAGCCGTTGAGCTGCTGTAATTTTCCTAGTTTCATATGGCCACATATGATTTTTGTAAGGTATTTGGGCATCCAAAACCTTTGAAAATTCTTGATGCGTTTTAGCCGCCTAACTGGGCAATGCCATTTATTTTTTCTTTGAATGCCTGAGCATTGCATCCAAATAAATCTAATGAAATCCAGAACGAGCCAAACCAAGAGCCAAAGCAAAGGCAAGCATTTTTGTGACGGGAGTGGGAATGGCCAAAGGTTTAAACTTTAAGGCGAAAGGTGAAAAGGGGAATGGTGTAAGGTGCAAGGCGAAGGCTGACGTGTGCCCCATGAAATTGCTCTTCTCGGCTTTCCTGCTATTCACACACTCGTACGGGTTGGAACATAAATTGCGCACAATAAAGCAAAAATTAAAAAGCGTAAACAGAAATTGCTTGCCTTCCCCAAAAAACCTTCTCTTTCAATTTTCCTTACATTTCGCCCCCGTGTTTTCTATTTTCCCCCACATTTCCAACTGTCAGCGGCGGGATTCCGTTTTGACTGTTTTCCTGTCGGAAAGTGAAAATAATATGAAAACTAAAAAAGTACATGGCATTTTCCCATGAAAACATACTTTCCTTCAGGCAGAGCAAAGGTTATTAGCTTGCACATTTGATAAATAAACTCATTATATTTTAATTAAATGCTTTACGCTAGGACCTCAGTTTTCTTTCTTTAAATTCATTTTATAAAATGAAATGCCAATTAGGTTATATGTTGTCTATACAAATGCAACAAAATATGCATGCCAAAAACTTGCGTTTCATAATGATTGTATTTATTGTAATTTCAAAATGAAATCATGCCCGAACTCCAGAAGCTAAAAAGTTACTTGCCTTTAAAAAGCGAAGGGCAAAAATTATATAAAGTAGAAAAGTCAGAAATGGGAAGAAAATGGTGGGGATGAGATCCCTTATTGGGGGCGGTATACAATGGCCCAGATAGAAAGCAGGAAGATACGTATAGACACACACCTTTATTATTATTTTTACACTTAACTTCC